CCCCCCCCCCCCAGCCTAGGAATGTGTCATGAGAGCTCAGGTGCTCACTCTATAAGATGCACTTCGGGTCTGAGTGCAGCAGGTTTCTGTAAGAAGGGGCTCTCCTCTGACGCCCCAGGACTCTGTCAGAGGACTGAGAGTCTCTGCCCGTCTTCAGAGAGCAAATATATCGTATTTGCCGTGTAAATGGTAAACCTGCAGGGCACACACTGAACATCCATCCACAGGAGCCGAGTCTCCAAATGAGCAAAACCTAGCTCACCGTGTCACATACTGTGATTGTCACCCCACCCGGACAGCACGCACACCTGCTGTGTCTACGTCTCTCTCCCACCTCCTCTGAGTTTTTACAAGATAATTGTTCACCTCTGGAACTTTTGCTTTTGTCTTCTGTTGTCTCTAATGAGTATTGTTCTCCTACACTTAATTTAATGTTTTGAAGGTAAAGGTGGCGGGGGCATTGAAAATATGGAGATCCAGAGCCAGAGTATTTAAAGCCAGCAAAAGAACTCATCTCTTCAATCACTCTGAACAGTTTTCACACATGTGTATGAAACCTCCATAGGTACAATACGGACAAGTAGTTAGTATTCCATTGTACTGATATATCGTAATTGGTTTAGACTTTCTCCTATACCAGGGTATCTCTGAGGTTTTGAAAACAAACTTTATTTACCTCAGGGCCATAAACTTTTAAGTAATGAAAAACATTTTTAATGTCTAAATTTTCAGTCTTCCTGATTGTTTTGATTTACTTGCTTGGTAACCAAATGGTATATTGGTAATTAATATTGACTTATAACCAGATAATTGAATGAACTTATTGATTTGTATTATTATGTATATGGATATTATATAGATCCAAGGAAAACATGCAGATGATTTTAGTAATTCAAATTAAAATTAAAATTTTATGTTAAATATGGTTTTTAGCAAAAAATCTGGTTCTAGGTCAAATCATATTCATGATCAATCCTCAATAACAGGTCTCTTAGGAAGGCACGATGGTAATTTCATGTGTCAACATGGTGCCAGTTTGTTTGGTCAAATGCTAGCCTAGAGGTACAATATGTTTTTAAAAAGACATAGCTAACATTTAAAGCAGTAGACTTGGAGTAAAACAGATTACCCTCCATAACATAGTGAGTTTCATCCAGTCAGATGAAGGCCTGAAAAGCAAAGACTAAGACTCCCTGAAGAGGTAGCAATTTTGTCTCAAGAATGCAACATAAAAACCCTGCTCGAGTTTCCAGACTGCCTGGCCTGCCCTGTGGAATTGGGACTCAAGACTACAATACCCACACTGACTCAGTTTCTAGCCATCTGGCTTGCCCTACAAATTTCAGATTTGTCAGCCTCTACAATCATGTGAACCAATTTCTTAAAAAAAAATTAAATTAAATTAAATTAAAAAAAAAAAAAATATATATATATATATATCTCCCTTATTGTTTGTTTTCTCTGGAGAATGCATATTTGCCTTTTAAAATAACATGATTATTTAGCTAAACACACTCAGAATATGGTAAGCATAGGGAGAGAAGACTACAGAAAATTCAGGAGAAGGTGAGGTGAGGAAGGAAAGGTCATAGGTGAGTGGATGGCAGGAGACCCAGCTCCAGTTGGATACTTCATACAGATGAACTTCTCTTTCAATCTGTAGGTGCCAGTCACCCTCATTCATTGAATGTGAAAACCCAGAGAATTCTCACAGTAAGAATTAATAGCATTAGCTTCAAAATTTTCATTTCTTTTAAAAATTATTTGGTTCATAGATACAAAGAACAGACTGACAGCTGCCAGAGGGGAGGGAGGTTGGGGGGCTGGGTTGAAAAAGTTGAAGGGACTAAGCTGTACCAATTGGTAGATGCAGAATAGACACAGAGATGCATTTGACAGTGTGGGGAATATAGTCAATAATGTTGAGACAACTTGGTATGGGGTCGGGTGGATGCTTGGGGCAGCAGAGGGACCACTGTGTAGAGTGCATGGTCTTTCTGGCCATTTGGGATACATCTGAAACTGGTATGGAATGTAAACTGTGGTTGAAAAGAGAATAAAATTTAAAAAATAAAATTTTTGTACTAGAGAATTTGCTATTCTCTAATGCAATAGCTTTCATGATTCATTTACTTTGAACATACAGAAAATCCAGACATTATCAATATCTTCAGATATCCGAAAAATGGAAATCATGTCCCCCCAATCTTCTTACCTATATGGACTATGTTCATTTTTCTGCAAGTTAAGATCTTTTGTCCAAGCTTCACACATATTTTGCTGTCTCCAATCAGTAAGAATTTATTTGTCTTGATGAAATATATCTCTTGCAGTTTGTTAAAATTCAGGCACTTTACATCCACGAGGCCGTCACTGTAGAAACAAAAAGGGGTTTTGTCTTAATTCAAGTGGGAGTTTCTGCATACAATGGGATAGCATCACACATACGCTTCAGTTGCATGACTTCAACTCTGCCCGTAGGTATGTGAGTGGGTAGGTGTACATCAAAGAGAGAAAGAATGAAAATAATGTCGCTTTTTGCTACCATTACTCTCAGTGATGATTTACTCAGGCATTAGGTGCACTTGAACCTAAAATAGTCAAAGCACGTTCATGAAAATAATGAAAAGTTCCTACTTTTAATAATTGATCATTGAAAAACAAATGCTTTGTTTAGGTGGGATAGTAATTGCATTTTTGATGTCTTACAGGCATAAATTGAAGAACTAAAGCCTGTAAAGAAACATTGACTGAAAAAGGCTTAAAGGAAATGATAAAGGATTATATACATAAAACCGTATATATTTGATGGGTAATTTAAGGATTTGCATAGGTAATTTTGACTGTGCTCTAGTTTTAACCCATCAACAGATTTAAAACCAACCCTTTCCCCATGCTCCCTACTTAACATGCAATAGCAAGGCTCTGTCACTTCTGTAACTTCCTATACCCAATTAGGGTCAGGCTTCCAGAAAACCGAGGAAGAGAGAATGTTGCGTGCTGTGCAACTAACACCAAAAGCTCCCAATTGTACTCTTTTAAAAAATTCCTATTTAACAAATGTACAATGTTTAGTTCCAGTAATATATATATTATATATTAGTAATACATATTGCATATATATATAGTAATATATATATTACTATAAACTTTGGACAATATATTTTTGAAAATCTTATTGAAAAGCACCAGAAAGTAACCAAAAACAGGCAGAAACCACGGGAAATATTATCCTTTTAAAAGGGTGGATGAGATCCTTGTGTCCTTTCTTTTCTTTTCTTTTTTTAAAATTTGTCTGATGGCACGCCTTGGGTCACACTGTGACAGGCACCTAGAATATAACAAAAAGCCACAGTTTTGTCTTAGGGAATTAGAGGAAATAATTTTGGATTCCCTAAGTGGCTGTCTATTTTTTGTGAGAGAACTGCCTAGAAATGGAAATATAGAACTGGAAACATCAAGTCAGCATATAAATTCTGTGCAAACTGTTATATGTCCTCTAAATGATGCCTGTGAGGAGGAGCCCAGAAGCCATGAGATAGCAAAGCTAGAAGGCTCTAGAAAAAACTAAGCATAGATTTTTGGTGCTGCCTCAGAAGAAGAAATTGAGGATTAATCTAGACAAGTTAACTAACAAAGCTAAAATGAACACTCACCAGAGGATAACAGAATCCACGCCCCCATTAGCAACAGAGTTCTTCCCACATTCAAAAGCTACTACAAATAACTAGAAAGAGAAAAATGTGACCCATAAGTCAAGAAAAAAAGCAGTCAGTGGGTCTGATCCTAAGGTGATCCAGATGTTGGAACCAGCAGAAAAAGGACTTTAGCTCTTGTAAATATATTCAAGGGCTAAACATAACACATTGTCATGATTATTGAAAAGATGTTTAATCTTAATGGAGAGGTAGAAACTATAAAGGAGCACAAAATGAAAATACTATAACTAACAAGTACATATTTAAAAAATTTTTTTAAATGTACTGAATGTATGGAATGGGCTTAAAAGCAGATTGAAGATGGCAGAAAAAAGGGTCAGTGAACATGAAGATAGAGCAATAGACCTTATTTGGTCTGAAATAAAAGAAAAAGTCTTGGTGGCCTGTAGGTCAACATCAAAGGGGTAAATATGTAATTAGAGTTCCAGAACAAGAAGAGAGAAAGAATTTGGCTGAAAAAATACTTAAAGAAATAATGGCTCCAAATTTCCCAAATGTGGCAAAAAATAATCAACTTTTAGGTTTAAGAATTCAGCAAATCCAAGCTGAATTTTTAAAAAAGCACATTATCAAAGCTAATAAGCACATCATAGTTGAATGGCTAAAAAACAAAGACAAATAGAAAATCTTGAAAACATCCAGGAAAAAAATATCACTTTCCATCAGAAACTATGGGAACCAGAAGGCACTGGAGTAGTATCTTTAAAACTCTGGAAGAGAAAAAATAAGATGTCCAACTTAAATTCTTATGTGTACAAAATAATCTTTAATAATGAAAGCAAAGTAAAGATACTTCCTGATAAATAAAAACTGAGGTAATTTATTTTAGAAAGTTCTTTAGCCCAAAGGGAAATGATACTAGATGAAATTTCAGATCGACAGGAAGGAATTACGGGTACCAGAAATGGTATACTTTGATAAGTATAAAAAACAATATATATATTTCCTCTTAAATTCCTTTAAGAGGAATTTAAAGGAATTTGATTGCTTAAAGCAAATATCATGACATTACTGTGGCATTTATAGGATATGTAGATGTAAAACATATGACAACAATAGTGCAAAGGATAGGATATGATAAGTAGAACTATATTGTTGCAAATTTCATATATTTCTCATGAAATAGTACAATATTAATTCTAAATAAACTCTAATAAGGTAAGGTTGAATATTGCTATCCTTAGAGCAATCATGAAAAAGAGATATTGCCCAAAAGTGAAAATGAGGAAGAAATTGAATTTCAATAGTTCCATTTCTTTCAGAGAAATTCAATTTATTATTATTATTATGTTTATGAATCTCTCCCCACACAATCCCCCATTCCCCCCTTAAATTTTCCTACAAAGAAAACTCTACCCTAGATGGTTATATGCTTGCAAATTCTATGGAGTATATAAGAAATAGTGCCAATCCTACTGAAATTCTTCCAACAAATAGAGGAGAAATGGACTCTCCCCAACCTCAATTATGAAGTTGGGGAGAGTCCATCAACTCTGGTACCAAAAGCTGGCAAAAAATATTATAGAAAAGAAATTTACAGATAAATGTCCCTCAAGAATGTATATGCAAAATTCCTGAGGAAAATATTAACATGCTGATGTTAATACATAATTAAAAAGTAGGATGTGCTCCTAGAACATCATGATAGGTTCAACAATCAAAATCAATCAATATAATTCACATTAACAGAATAAAAGACATAAACAATCTGGTCATCTTGAGTGATGCAGATAAAGCACTTTACAAAATTCAACATTCATTATGATAAAAACTCTTAGCAGATAATTAATAGGAGGATATTTCTTTAACCTGAGAAAGGGCATTTACAAAAAGTCTATAATTAATATACTTAATGAAAAAATTGTGAATATTTTTCCCTAACATAAGGAAAAGACAGGAATATCTCACTATTTATATTCAACAGTGTGCTGGAGGCTCTCTCCAGTGCTAGGCAACAGAAACAAATAAAAGGCACCCAGATTGGAAAGGGGAAAAAAAGACTTCCTTTATTTGTAGACAACATTTGTTTACATGGAAAATAATTTTCTCCAATATAATTATAGAAACTAATAAACTGAATTTATCAAGGTCATTGTACAAAAGTCAGTTATATTTCTATAGATTAGTATCAAACAATGAGAAAAATAATTAAAAATAATAGCTCTATTTATGCAATAGAAATATAAAATGTTTAGAAATAAAATTAATAAAAGATGTTTAAGGCCTTTGCAATGGAAATTACAAAACATTCCTGAGGGCTACTAAAGAGGATCTAAATAAATGGAGAGCTACATTTATGGGTTAGCAAATTCAGTAGTAAAAAGATGGAAAAATTCCCCAAATTGGCATATGTAATATTAAACAAAATCTCAGCAGGATTTAAAAAAAATGATAAGCTGATTCTAAAATTTATGTGGAAATTCAAAGAATAACCAAAACATCTGAAAAGTTAGAACAAATGTGATTCAGAACAATTTTTCTAATTGAAAAATTAGAACAAATGTGATTCAGAACTCTTGATTTCAAATGTAAAATAAAGCTATGATAATCGGGACAGTTCAGCACTGGTATAAGGATAGAGAAGTTGATCAATAGAAAGTATAGAGAGTTTGGAAATAGACTCATATCTATAAGGTTAATTGATTTTAAATACAAGCACCCAATCAGTTCAGTGGGAAACAGAAAACTCTTGCAGCAAATTGTCCTAGAACAAACTGAGCAAATGTATGAAAAATACAAATCTCAATCTTACACAGAATTAATTAGACATGGATTATGAACCTAAATATAAAGTTTAAAACTATAAAACATTTAGAAAAGAACAGAGGAAAGTATCTTTCTAACTTGGGCTGTAGACAAAAATAGTAATGACACAAAAAGAAACATAAAATAGAAAAAAAGAAATCAAAATGAAAAACTTCTTGCTTATTAAAATACACCATTAAGAAAATAAAATGGCAAGCTACAGAATTAAAGAAAATAATTGTAACACATATATCTCACACACAAATTGTATCCAGAACATATAAAGAATTTACACCCATCAATAATGAAAAGAATAACTCAATAAAAGACAAGAGATTTGCCAAAAAAAAGACATGCAAATGTAAAAAGACATACAAATGTAAAAAGACATGCAAATATAAAGACATACAAAAAAAGTAAATGAAAAGATGGTAAGCATTATTTGTTATTTGAGAAATGCAAATAAAAATTACTATACACTGTTTCAAAACCAAATGTTAGAACTATAGCTTACATATTGTTGGTAGTAGGTAGAATGGTATAACCACTTTGAAAACCTGTTGTGCAGTTTCTTACAAAGTGAAACACACACCTACCCACTGTACAGCAATTCCACTCCGAGGTTTTTACTTCAGAGAAACCCACAGAGAAACAAAACTGTGTATTGACAAGCTATTTTGAACAAAAATATTAGTAACAACTTAAAAAAATAATAGTGTCAAACTTGAAAGAACTCAAATGTCCATCAAGAGGAGAAAGGATTAAACTCTGTGATATATTCATACAGTGGGATTGCTACTCAACAATGGAAAAGGTGTTATGAGACATGAGTCAACATGGGTGAATCTCAAAAACATTGTGTTGTGTGAAAGGAGTGAGACAGAAAAGGGTAAGTGGTGTGTTATTCCA